AAGTGGGAAGTGCTTAACGTCGAGCTCCGTCTTTCGGTGGCTCCTTCTTTAAAGCCATAAACCCAAATGGAAACGGCTCGGGGCAAACGCTCTGCCTGTGTTTTATGGGTCAGGGTTTTAAGCCCGGATTGCATCTCATATGGTACTCTGCGGTCTCACATGACGCTCGCTTAATTTGGCTGCTTCCTCAGCTTTTTCCACTGGCTTGAGCTGAAACATCAAAGCTCATGACTGGCATAGAGCGTTCTGCGAAACCAGCATTGGCCAGAAAGAAAAAGGTCTTCATTGATTTAACTTGAAAGAGTTCCGTAGGCAGGGCAACCTTAAATTCCTGCCTCTTTGCATAAAAAAGGACACAAATGTAGAAAGGAGGGTTAATAAAAGCGTCTTCAAAGTATTTGTTTGTGGGCCGCTTCTCTGGGGTTTTCCTATGTGGCTTTCCATTTGTGCGGAGGCATGAATGAAAAGAAAGGGACGCTTACGGTGTAAAAATAAAAGTACACGCAAATTATTTCACTCTGACTGCAGTTTACCGTAGTGCTCATAATCTATTCATTCATCCTTTTTTAGCCCTTAGGTATAGTTCTTTTTGGGTTCGTCCCTTCCATTTTTTTCGTCCTGTTTTCCATTTGTTAAATCGCATAAGCGCTTCTGCGAGAACAATACGCCATTTGTTGGCAGGTGGGCGAAGAAGTGGTTTGGTGGTTCGCCATGAACCAATGTGTTGCAATTGTTTTACCCTCTCTCGATTCGAAACCCGACATCCACGCTACCTGTCTCGTCAACTATGCATCGCTGCAGTTTTTCACCGTGATGTGTGGCAAAACACTTGCCAACAAAAACAAATGCATTTCTAGCAACAGCATGGAAAGGCGTTATATTTATTTTCGTACAAAAACTATCAAGGTATTTACAAACAATATAAGTATTGCATTTTTTAAGTTGTAGCTTTTGAAATATTATACTATTTTATTTCTTAAATTGCTTACCCTCTGACCTTTAAATAAACCTTAAACGGAATCAGAAATTTCGATTTATTCGTTTGTATGCCAGTGCTATTAACGTCCGCCGGCTCGAAAAGTTTTGTTTTGCCTACGGCAGGGAAAACAACAATAATTTTCACTGTTATTTTTCGGGTTAACCGAATTAAAGCTGTCCAGATTGTGCAGCGATTGGCCAATAGTGCTCTTTTAAATTAAAATGTCATGGCGGCAATCACTTCTCAACGCTCGACGGGAGTAGTGGCGACAATGAAAACAACTCGGCGGGAATGAAATTATCTGGCTGACTCGCCGGTGCTCTAGATGTTTTCTCCGGTGTGCTTGTGTCAGCGCACCGTAATTAAAAAATTAAAGTAAAAAGTATAAAGTAAAAAGGTAGAAAGGTCTCTCGAAAGCCGCATTGCACAGTGGTTGTATTTGTAAGTTTCTCGGCGACGCTCATGCATTTTTCATTTGATGTTTGAGGGTCCAGAATTCAAAATTTCTTCAATCTTTTCTATGGCACTGATATTCCAAGCCCAACATTTTTTTCTGCTGTAGGTTTATTCAGTGAGGCAACTGCCATGAAACCAAGATTTAAAGATTTAACTACCAATAAAATTCTAATGGAATCGTAAAAAGTTAAAGACATGATACTCTATTGAGTATCCACTGGCATGAATTGATCATTTTGCACATCGGATTTTTTTTGTTACATTTAAAATTAAGTCAAGTAAATTCGAAAAGCCAAGAGGTATATTATTGGCACAAATCTAAAATGTAAATGTAACGTTATCATTTTTGGTTTCCTGTTGCAGTGAAGACGCTAAGTAGCACTTCAGCTGCAACTCGATTTGCCTCCTTAGGCCGTTGGTCTTCCCAGTTGTTTAACATCCATTGTGCAAATTCAAAGTTTTTCCGCTACGTCTCTTTAAATGCAAAATCGTGTGGCCCCAGAACTCAATCAAAAAGTTCAATTGTTCGAAATGGGGCTCCACTCATCAGCATTTTGCGTGTTCATTTGGGAGCCTTGTTTGGGGCAAGTCGGAGCTGCCCCAGAAGTTGCCCGAGCACAGCGACATTCTGCTGGTTGGCCCATAAATATGAAGAAAAATGTAAAATGTTGTCTACTTTTTGGCGCTCGGCCTGGCTGTCGTGACGTGTAAGCGGATTGCCAAACTTCCGAGCTGCCAAACTACAATTTTCCAAACGAACGGACCAGTTCGTCTGCCACCACAGGGAAAATTCATTCCTTCGTGCTGCCAACCGCCCATTAAGTGCACCAAGTCGAAGCCAGGGCGGAAATCCTTTTGCCAGTTTGATTTATCGGAGCATGGAGCCAGGCGCTCAGTCTCGGGGAAGCTCGATTGGGCCATCATTGCTGGCCCCATGCAATTTGTCAAACTTTGCAGGACTGCCACAACAAGGGTTTAATGAGCTGTGCAAGTCAAAGCCTTGCTAAGTAGCAATTATGCATTTACTCCAGCATCTAATAGTCGACTTCTCTATTTTCGAATTCGGATCGACCGACTGTGTGTCGGAAAAACATACATTTCTCGGATGATCAAAACGGGCCAGCTGCTTTAGGCTGCAAGCACACAGATTCATTTATAAAATGGGAGAAAATTCGAGCTGTCAGCTCTATTAGTCCAGGATCGAGGCGACAAGGAAGGGTTAACTGCTGATGTGACGGCTCAGAGCCCCGAGCTAAATTTGAAATGATTAAGTGTTTCCAATAAAACGTAATGGGGCTAATAATGGGTCACTTAGAAACATGCCCTGAAGACACTTCGCTTTACTTAAACACACATTACATTAAATACGAAACAAAAACGAAAGCGATATAAAAGAGATGTAAACATCGCTTAGCATGCCCGTTTTTCTATGGCCCAAAAAAGCTATAAACATGCCTCGCAAAAAATCCGGGCATCAGGACGTGGCCAAAAAAATTTTTGTTTATGCGGCCAGGTGGCAGCAACATGGCAAATTGCCCACGCCACCCTCGAAAAAGAAGTCAAGACGGATTTTGTCAAGTGCTCAACTTTTTGTTTACCTTGAGGGGTATTGTTGTAGTAAGTTTCCAGTTCGGCAAAACAGATAAAGCGTCAAAAGCTTGATCTTCGGCTTTATAAAATGTAATTTTTTACATTTAGCATATTTTACAAAGAATTAAAAAAAATAGTTACAAATAAGCAAGTATATTTTATATTTTTAGAAGCTTTTAAAAAATAACTGCCAAAACAGAGTACCTTCAAATACCGCCTTCAGAATAAATAAATTCCATCGCAGCCTCCACTGGATGCTGCGTTTTGCGGTTTATGCGGCTTTCTACCCGAGGTGTTCTACAAGCCACTCACGTCTCGTTGAGGCCACGAACGAGTTGTTTGGCGAGTCGGAGCTGGCAGTTCTGGCCAGAAGGCCGAAAAGTGCAGCAGAGTCAAGTGCCCCAGCCACTTTTCAGCAGGGGTGGTGTTTGCCTAGATATCGCCAGCGCAACGACTAAGAGGCTTTCCCAAATGCCAGAAGTTCGCCATTCCCTAAGTCAAGTTGGATAAAGAACATTTTGGCCTTAGGTTCTGAAGAGGATAATTAGGGGCATGCTTCCCGTGCCCACGAGCGCGGAGTGGTGTTCTTATTGCCAAGTTCCACGATAGGCAGCAGAAAGTGCACTTTGGGATCCCCTCCTGGGTGTTCCCTCTCCCACTCCCTGGATCCACCACCAGGTTCAGCTGGCGTGACAATGCCGGCAGAGATGTCAACGCGGCTGCAATAAAGTTCTCCGTTCTACTGACGCTGCACATTTGCCACGGGAACCCTGCCTCCATCCATATTGTCAAGTGGGGCCGCGAAGCTCTTTTTCTTAGTATGCAGGCAGCGAGTTTATTGAAATTTTATGCATTCCTGCATTATATGCGGTCGCCTTTGTTGTACACCAGGCTCATGTGCTCCCGATGCCCCCAAAAAGTTTAATTTTCGATACTGTCTGCTGGTTTCTCGCTTGTCAGCCGCCTGCCTTCATCCTGCTCGGCTTGCCGCTTGATCTCACAACTTTTATTCGGAGGCCCTTCGATAGCGAAGGCCCCGCGATTGCAGCCATCATCATTATTTGGTTCAATGTGGCTTAATTGCTTAAGAGCTATCTGTTCTCCGTTTATTCTCCATGAGTCTTTAACAGTACACTTTTGACAACAAATTGTCAAATTTAGTAATCCTCAATGGGTCAATCTGAGCTAAAATGATTATGGATCTTAAATTCCTAAATAGTAAAGACCCTTTTTTTTTGACAAGACATGAGATATGATATTTGAGTTTGTATAGCGGACACCAAACTAAGTGAAACTGGGGATGCACTTATTACCCTATGCAGAATCCTCCAAATATGTATAATAACCAAAAGTGTGAATAAGGTCAAGTTTGTGAGCCAAATTATAAAAAATCACTACTTAAAGTATTCCTCACAATACCAAAGCTCCACACTGAAAGGTTTTATTCAAGCCCTATTTAAATGTTTTTTTGGCAGCTGTATGACTTACTCGTTCGATTTTCTTACTGAAACGTAAAACAAGAAGGGAAGGTAGCTTCGGCAAGCTGAAACTTATATAACCTTGCAGTTATCAAATATGTCGAACATTATACATAGAAGCTAAACAACATCGATTTTTCTATGAAGTTTCTTTATTTTCGACGATTGTTCACATGAGAGCTTTATGATATAGTTCTCCGATTTTTCTGAAATTTTATTCGAAATTCAAGAGTCATTAGAAAACTCTATATTATGTCTTGTCTAGTTAAAAACAACGATGGCATAATTTTCTTTCCGTTAATTCTATATAGATTTTTATACCCTTGCAGAGCAAAATAAAAACAACGGAGTTTTCAATATATTTCTATTAATTCTATATAGATTTTTGGATCTATATGATATAGTTTTCCGATTTTTATGAAATTTTTTTCTCGATCTGAGGTATAAATCGATTTAGGTGGCTCTGTTGCTTTTTGAAAACCATCTATTTTGAATAATTTTTAAGTTTAAATCATTTGTTTATTTAACGTTAGTAAATAGTTTGCAATGCTCCGTTTTTTAATACGTGTTCATGTATTAACGGATCTACAACTGTAAAAGATAACATTACATCTTTCGAATTTGGAAATCCATTTAAGAGTCTGGTGTCTAAAAATGAGTGCTAAGCGGGAGTCTTGCGAAATATTAAGCTGGTTAATTTAAAACATTCAGTCATGATTCATGGTAAATATTGGAAAACATAGTGTGCTTTATAAAGTTGCTTCAGATTTGTGTTCGGTTTGCTTCCATCTATATTGTAATTTTCAGATATTTTTGGTAGGGTCTATTTCTTCTTTTTGTCCTTCTTGTCGTCTTTTTTTGGACCACTACCCGGTGGACAGGAAGACAGGTAGCCTCCACTCATCATACGGTCAAAAGCATCAAGAGGATCATATTTGGAATAGAAGTTTCTGTACTTCCTTTTCCGTGGATTGTTCTTGAAGACATATAGAATCAGTGGGGCTATCAAGGCTAGAGTACAAGCCACTTTTACGTTGCCAATCGTTTGCTTCAAGTGCAGATTATGCATCGGAAACTTGATTTCAGGGGGCTGTAGGTTTCCAATAAAATAAGTAAATACGTTTATTAAGCATAGGTTTATAAGCAAAGAAACGCTTTTCTTACCTTTTGTGCCGGCATCTTTTAGATTTTTTTGTTCCTAACTTGAAAAGAAGTAAAATTGGAATGTGCTCAAATACAATTCCTTACAGACTATGAAAAATAGGCCTACTAGTTCTCCATTAGGCTAAGTGTGTAAAAAATATAAATCCTATGAGTACTCTAGTTAAAATGATGTTTATAATAAGTATTATTATTGCGCCTTAGGTATTATTATTATGTGTACATATAAAAAAAATTATTAACGAATTTTCTGCTGAAAATGCTTATTTTTAGGGTCGAATGAGCAACACGAAAGATTTTCCCCCAGGCAACTCTATAAATTCTTTGTCTTATTGTCTTAAAATTTGCATTTGGCAATTAAATTAGTACCCAACTGCTTGGAAAAACTCACCCTGGGAGTTGATTTTTTTCCTGACACTGACCATTAAACTTTGGCCAGATTGCAAGATTTTAAATTCATTTACATAGGCGACCAAGAGCATTGAACCGTTTCTACAAAGAGACAATTTCAATATGCTTTGCCCCAAAGGCTCCACGCCTTAACAGAAGTGCTTATTTATTGAAAAAATATTTTGCTATGCCCCGCCTTTAGGTGTGGAGTGTCCATATATCTTTTACATTTTTGTTTACCCTATTTCGTGCCGATAAAATTAAAGAGCTTTAAGCCAAACAGCTTGAAAGATTTTTGAGTAGATTTGTGCACTACTTGTGCCTTAAAGACAGCAGAACTAAAGTGAAGCAACCAAACTTTTCAATTTCAGAATCGCCTCTAAACTTTGTTAGTTAGTTAGTTATTTGGGCAATAACTATAATGCTTTTTTTGTGCAGGTTCATTTGTTGATAAAGTTAAACTCTATTTAGTAAGAAGTCTGTATTGCGAATTTCTAACTTGCGAACCTTCAATTTCTCATTTCCAAAAGTAACCATTTTTCATTAGCCTTGGCGTGCAGAATTTATCTTCTTTTGCCATTAGTTTATTAAGTTGTTCCATTAATAGTCTTAGTACCTCTTGATTAATATATATAAAGGAATTGCATGTTCAGAACAACCCACAGCTCAGTGAACTTTGTCGTCCATCCCAAGAATTCTGAGAAGAAGGCCACTGAACCTCAATATCATCAGCTTTTGACGTGGGCATGTCATTATTATCTATTACTTATGGCCCAAGTGGGTGAAAGGCCACGCCCCTGGTCTTGGTCCGTCGTCCTTCGCCTTCCCTGCTTGCTTCCCTGTGCTAATTGTAAGTTATTGACACGAAACGTGCCCTGGCCAATAATGGCGACGATAGGGTTTCCCTCAACACCACCTGTAACCAAAGGGACGCCGTCCGTTCGCAGTAATTATAACTTCCGCGGGCTATTGAGCATGAGTGTCATCTCCTGCGCTCTTGACAAAACATCAAAATAATTGAATTATAAATAATGTGCTCGATGTAAATATTGAACACCGTCCTGAGCAACGGAAGCGTAACGCCATCTGCCCACACTGACATTGGCATTTTTGACATCAACTTTAACAAGTAACAAAAACGTTTATATTGCATGCTTACCAAAGGTTTACCTTCTTTAATACTTTAAAACATTTTTGTAAAAAATAAATTGGTTTAAAAGCTAAATAGTTTATATGTTAATTATTTTTTGGTCTAGCGGAAGTTAAAGTGTGCCTAGCCAAACCACTTGCTTAATCTGAATAGTCTAACCCTAACAGCTCGAGTTCCTCTTGTTTATACGGATACATATGGGTAGATCAACTTCTCTAATGATTGAGATCAAAAAATATATCTTTCTTTCTGTTTCAAACTTTTAACCAATGTAGAAGGGTATCCTAATAATAGTAGGGTATACTAATTAAAAAAGTATTGGATATAGGTGTGAGTCCGAGAAAGTTATCAGTGTCAGAAATATCTGAGAAATATTAGCTAACCTTAGCACATATGCGTTTTCTTTTCATTCCAAATACGTGTCATTTGGGTTATCGCGTTTGAAAAATAAAATTTTAATAAATACTTGGAATTAAGATATGTATTTTAAATTGGGGGGATTCATTTTTCAAATAGATAGCCTTAAGAGGCTCTACAGTGCTCACTGCCAAATTTTTAAATGATGTATAAAAAACATAAACAAATTTAGAAAAATCTTTATCGGCTTTAGTTAAGAGGAGCCAAGCCTTTTTTGAAATCAATGGTTTGTGTTTTGGGGAGATGTGCTTTCTTTTTCCCCGAAGTTCCTATTCGTTTTAAATTACCCAAAAGTATTTTCTTTAAGCAACACACAAAAAACCTTGATATTTTTTATTTGTGATTAAAGCACCTACAATTGGAAGAAATTCTGTTACCTAACATTTTTGGACTAGTTAACAAATCTGAAATTTTTCAGTCGGAAATTACTCTTACAGTCAGGATTACTCTTTATCTGACTGTTAGTAAAAGCAAGCAGAATTAAAAAAGGCAGGAGGATATAACCCTAAGCTCAGAGTGCGTGAGGCAATTAAGCATGCCCTTACAGAACGAATACACATGCCGAATTTCCACAGGCATTGACAATTATAGAAACGATTTACTGCCGGTTCCACTCTTTAGTTGAAACTTTCATGTCTAGTCGGCAAAGTTTGCGCCGGAGGAGCCGGACCTCCGGGTGGATATTGACCCTCCCATCCTTTTGCAGCCTGTTCTGCTTTGCATACTTTGCGCCGCATTGGCAACGCAATTTGTCCCAATGTCGTGTGTCACGTTTGCTTTCATTTTGCGCTGGCTCCTTGGCTTTTGTTTGGAATTTGCTGTTTGCGCTTGTGCCATTTACGCCACAGCTGCAGTTGCTGTCTCCCGTTCTTTCAGCTTTCAGCTCCTTCCCTGCGTTTTATACGTTCATTGGCTTTGATGTTGTCGCTGGAAAGACTAATGAACCTTTTGGCGAACGGCGATGCTGATGCCGGCAAAGGCCCATAAAGCTCAAACGAACACAGCCCGCATTGAGATAGATATCACGAACACTGGAGTGGGTGAGTCATACACGGTTTTATAGTTTCATTGTTGAAGGTTGCCCATAAGATATTTTCGCATCAGGTCCCGACCAACGTGGCTCGGCATCCTTGAATATGATTTAAATGGTGGGCGACCGACTTTAATACTAAAATATTTCCCCCTCGTATGCATCAAGAATTTACGCACCCCGTTAACAAAGTTTCATTTGATGGAAGGTGATGATTGCGGAACGAAATAGTCGGGGACATTTTGCAATTTATCAACACTGGACGCACTAAAGTCTAGGAGGCATTGAAAGGAATCTATTCTCTACTAAATGCCATCATCTAGCTAAAGTTGTACATATATTTGCTAAGGGTCAGTTGTATGCGATTTGAAATGCCTCTTGGAAAGTTTTAGATCTTGTAAACAGCACTAATTCAAATATTCATTCCTAAAACCATATTATAATCTTTTAAATAATCTATTAAATAATCTTTATTAGGCCTCGGGAAACCTACAAAAAATCCATAAATATGTTTCTTATGTAAAGAATATTTTGAAACGACCCAATCGCTTACACGTTTGAACATGAATAGAGTTTGGTAGGCCAGTTTTAAAGTTGCAGAAATTCGAATAAATGGTTATTGAAAGTAGCAAGTGCACAAAGATTGGAGTTCTTTAAAATTTACCACACACCCTTGCCGCCTTAAAGCCTCGTGGCTGATTGAATTCACTGTTTATTTTCAATTGTGAAACTTCGAAGTCTTCCACAACACATATTTTTAGCATTTAGGAACACCTTTTCTATGTATCAAATGGTCAGTTTTTAGATGTTAGAAAAAGTGATAAGAAGCCAAGTCATAAGATATCCAAATAAACATACCCCTCGAAAAGCAAAACCTATCCGTTTACACAATTAACCTTTGTGACTTTAATATGGGGATATCATTGTTTAGCAAAGGTTGCAACTGCAACCTGGTACATACTTTTTAACAAATACAGTATGCTCTTGCACCCTACAAGCGACGGCTTTAAAAACCTGCAAAGTTCCATTACCAATTATATATTTTGCTTCTGATTTTAAATGGCATATCTTTAAAAAAAGCTGCGTTTCAGCATGATGTCAAACTTAAAATACTTTGTTCTTATCTTGTTTTTGCGTGTGGATCTTCCTCTGAACTAATTGTGTTGGGAAATTAATTGCCTTTGATGAGCTACTGTTCAATCTGTTTGGCTTCTCCAGCGGACTTGGTAAACCGCATTGACGATTTATGTTTGCCGATTGCTGGGGCAAAATCAATTAATTTCAATGGAATTGTGACTGGATGGGAGGAGAAGTATTTGTGGCTCGTTCCAGTTCTGGAGACAATTGATTAAAATTTCTATTCCACACGTCATGCTGGGACTTAAATTAAATTTACATGCAAAATGGTTTGTAACTTTTAATCTTTTTCTTGTGCACTCCATTTTGAGCGATTCTTTGGAAAGCTCTGAGCTCAATGTACACATACTTAATTTATTTGCCAAAAGCTTGCCGGCCACAATTTAATGCCTTCATTTCCAAAGTACTTGCGCACCCATGTGCTGTCTTCGACTTATGACTACTTTTCCTCTTGAACTTGGCGATGGTTTCGGTTTGCCAATGACGGAATGAATAGACCGATGGAAAACGCGAATTGCATTACAATTTTTCTGTCTTTTTGTAAGAGCGAAAATCCGTCTTTATTCTTCGGATTATACCAGTGCAAACGCAAACTATTTCCAGGGATCCAAACTTAAAGTCTACAAACTTGGGCGCGTCGGTCGATGTCCTTAAAAGACAAGTGACATTGCAGGAAATCCTCAACCATATAAACAGCCGTAGATTGTTTTTCGTTGGAAAACTTTAATGCAAGCAAATCTTTTAGACAGTCAGTAGACTATCTTACAGATTGCCACAGAATACACTCATTGCTCAATAGTACAGCTTCGGTACAATTACCATAGTCTTCTGTCGGTGCGTTCATTCTTTATGAGTCTGCTTGAGTGCACTAAAACAAAAGCTGTTAATCTGGGAATCGAATATATCTTTAACACAGAAATATCCATATTCAAATACCCATATTCAAATATCCATACATATCAACAATAGCAACCATAGCAACCAGCCTTCTGGCCAACTGTCATCGAAGTAGCTTCAAATTTAAGAGACTGCGATTTTGCTATAATAGAAGAATACAATTTTAGAATTGCCTTTTTTCTGTGTTTTCATCACTAGAATTTTAATGTTCCATCCTAATATTCTAGGTTTTATTATCGACGTTATGATTTTTAGATTACCGAATATGGCTAGATAAACTCATCTGATATTCCCAATCAAAAAAGAAAGTTTATAACCATTTTCAAGGGGAACGCCTTGCGTTAACTCTGTTGAAAAATGGACGAGTACATTTTTGACATCATTTATGTTTATTACAAAAATCTGCAAGATTAACTTTTATGATGCTCGAACAAAAGTGTTGGCTTCACTGAATTTTAACTTGTGGTCGTAAAAATGGGCTTGTCAATTTCTGAAATAAATATTCCCGTGGGTATTCATCACGGGTAACTGTGTACCCATCCCATAGTTTCGCGGTCCATAAGTGTTCGTAACATGGCATCCTTCGAATCCTTAAAGTTCTCTCATAGTTAAAAAGTTTTCTTCCTTCACAAGGATATACAGACAAGGTTGTCATGTCTGATCATAACTATAATATAAAAAGTAAACATATTGATATATTTATAGTAATTATAACGGATTAAATTTTGGTAAAAATGGTTATTGCCTTTTTAGTTAATCTTTTGAGTTTATCTTTAAAATGAAGAAAAAAGCATTGCGGCCTACGAGAAAATGTACAGCTATGCTTTGCTATATTGACCCAAACAAAAATGTTGCAATTAAGACTTATTTTACAAAGTACAGCATTTAATTGCCAGCCTTTATTTGAAAACGATTTTAAAACCCTTTTTTTTGGGTTCCACGTATACGGAAAAGCCGCAGCGCGGGTAAGAGCACTTAGCTGCCGGAATTACCGCTGTACAACAGGCCACTTCCGCTTCAATAAAGCCCACTTTATTATCAGCTTTGTAAAGTACTCCTCGTTAGTTTTCTTCATTAAATATTAAATTCCTCCGCAGGGTTGTATCCATCCGATATTGTAAAATCATGTTATATAAATTGGTTAAAAAATGTTTTTTGATGAAATGATTCACGACAACTTAGTTAATTTAAACAGCTCCAAGTGCAAGCCGATGACGTTTTGTCGGGCCAATCCCGACAACATAACGCTTGTTGACTATCTTGGCGTTCTCTTGGACCCTAAACCTAAATTCTCACTTCATATTTCGAACATGGTTAATAAAGCTAGGGAAATGCTTGGATTTATTAAACGATGGTCGAAGGAATTTGAGGATCCTTACGTTACCAAGACTTTATTCATATCGTTGGTCCGCCCAATCCTTGAGTATGAGGCACTCGTTTAGAGTCCTCAATACGGAGGACACGCTGATCGTTTAGAATTAGCCCAAAAAAGCTTTTTAATTTTTTCCCTACGCCGCCTAAACTGGAATGCAAACCTTTTTCTACACTCCTATTCTAATAGATTGCTCCTTATTAACTTTCCCTCCCTTGCTAATCGTAGAACGATGCTTGGTACTGTGTTTATTTATAATCTGTGGTGAAGTTGACAGTACTTACTTGTTGAGTAGACTAAATTTCTTGGTACCAAGTAGATTAACTAGAAATTATGTACCTTTGGTTATAAATCATTGTAGATCTAATTATAAAGTGCATGAGTAACGTACTCAGAGTACTTTGTTCTGACTACAATAGACTGTTTTCTATAGTATCTACTACTGATTCTCTGCAGCTCCGTAAACAATTAATACTAACATTTCTGGCACAAAATTAGACCTTTAAATTTAAAATTAAAATTAAATTAAAATTTTTTTCGCTTTAAGGGGGGGAATGTCAAATCGTGCAAAAAAAGCCATGTTTTTGTAATTTTTTTCCTGACGACACAGTTAAAATTTATTTATTCAATCAACGGTATATTAAAGTATGACATTAGAAGAATGTTTTATCAAATTTTTACAAAAAAAAGGGGTGTGTCCAGCCTACGCACGACAGAAGTGAAACTTCTTCATCACTACTCATTTTTATACACTTGCAGAGCAAAAGGGTATTATAATTTCAGTCAGAAGTTTGCAACGCAGTGAAGGAGACACCTCAGACCCCATAAAGTATATATATTCTTGATCAGCATCACGAGCAGAATCGGAATACGTCTGTACGTCTGTCCGTCTGTCCATCTGTCCGTCTGTTCGTTTCCGCGCAAACTAGTCTCTCAGTTTTAAAGCTATCTTGCTGAAACTTTCCCAAAAGGTGTGTAGTTATTGCACGCAGTATATAAGTCGGAACGGGCCGGATCGGCCGACTATAAAGGATAGCTCCCATACGAGGGAATGAAATGAAAAATTCTCACGCCGGTGTTTTTCGTCAGATCTACTTGAATTCTTCAAGATGGCGTTTTCTAACTGTTATTGAATTTCGGATTAAATTTGATCAAAATCGGATAACTCTATCATATAGCTGCCATAGGAGAGATCGAAAATTATATATAGAATTAATGGAAATAAATTGATAACATCGTTGTTTTTTATCCCATGATTTTTTGAATATCAAGTTTTTTAACAACGTTTATATTGAGAAAAAAGTTTCATAAAAATCGGTCATCTATATCTTATAGCTGCCATAGGAAAGATCGAAAAATTTTTATCGAAATAATGGAAACAAATTTATAACATCGTTGTTTTTTTATCAGACAAGTATGATTTTTGGAATATAGAGTTTTCTTACGACTCTTGAATTACGAATTAAATTTGATCAAAATCGGACAACTATATCATATAGTCGACATTTGAACAATAGTCGAAAATACGGAAAATGAATAGAAAAATCGTCATAGCTTCGATACTGTTTAGCCTTGTTGTATTTAGTTCGACATATTTGATGACTGCAAGGGTAAATAAGCTTCGGCTTGCCGAAGCTAGCTTCCTTTCTTGTTAAAATTGAAATTCTGTAGGAAACCGAATAAAAGCCTTATTATACGCTTCATTTTAGAGGTCTCGAAATGTGCTGGCGACTCTCAAAAGTTAACAAACCGATTGAGAAGAAGAAGAAGACAAATACATATCGATATGTGTTTTCATTTCTAGGTCAAATAAAATGGATAGAAATTATGGTGCCAATTAATATCTGTATGCAACCTGTTCGATTTGAATTCCTTTTGACATTCACACCTCTCACCCCTTTTTCAACTGCAACTTTGTGCGAGCGCGCTGAGAGCGAGAAAGGATAGAGGAGGATAGAGACATCGTTCGTCAGCGGTTAGAAAGGGATGGGGATCCTCGCTTTTTCGTGACGGCAATTTTCGTGACGGTAATTTTCGTGACGGTCATGAATCGGTTTTACTCCGTCCCCGAAAATCCATAACGCGCCTAAAGAAGTTTCACTTCAAAAATATTAAAAAATATGGCAATGGTAGCAATTGTCCGGACGTGTCGCCAAAAAAAGTTGAATTGCGGTGCCCCTCATAACTCGGTGCTGGATCATCTCAAATCAAAAAATGAAACTTCATTCGTTAGATAATAGTTCGCCCCAGGTAACGCTGTAAAGCTTTTTTGAAAATTGCAATTTTTTAATTTTTTTGAAGACTTTGAAGTGAAAAACACAATTTTTTGGGAAAAAATCGGTTAATTTGTCATTGCGAAATCAAAATTATGAACAAAAAAAAAAAACTCGACAGCGTTACCTCGTAAAATATGTACAGAAATAGTGTTTAAAATTTCAAAAGGATCGGTGCAGTAGTTTTGAAGTTATGAGGGGCACCGACTTTGAAAATAGCGTGTTCGGCAAAATCGATTCAAAGTATTTTTATACGTGAAAATACGCCCAAATACGGTTGTTTAAAACGCTGTAACTCCGTTAGTTTGACTTTAATTGACTCAAAATTTTTACACAATGTTCTCGACATATTAATCATTCAGAAAAAAAAAAAAAAAAAAATAAAAAAAAAATTTTTAAAACCTTACCCTCCCCTTAAATTTTTTCCTTTTTCTTTAAATCGTGCCGTACGATACACGGCTGTCGCCTCTCGGTTGGTTGGGCGGGTGGTGGTCCGTGGAACTACGCGCGAAAAAAATATATAAAAATCCCCCTGCCTTTAAAAAAAAATCTTTTTGTGACTTAACCTGACGTTCGACTACCTCAATTGTTGTTGGGTTCCAGATTTTATCTATCAAACCTCAACAAACAATTTTCAAACTCGCGTGGGCCAGTTTTCCCATCATCTTTTCTCTGTTTTATGTAAAGATGCCCATACATAAAAATTTGTAAGGGGCTCAAAATTGTTTGCTTATATGAATGGCGAGTTACTTCGATTGTCCATTGCTCCAAATCCACAGCAACTGCAGCAGCGGTCGAATCGAATCGAGTGAAATCTGAGACCAAAACATTAGGAAAATATGGTCTTCTTATTTTAGGGCGCCTGCGTCGTGAGTGAGCTGCCGAAAGCCGTCCATAAACAGCCGGCAAAACGCGCGCCAATGTCAGAACAACAGAAAAAGTGCAATAACAACCACAACGACAACAACTTTGCCACTAGTTCAAGTTCAATGCAACAACAACAGCCAGCAGCACGTGACGCAAATGTGGGAAAGCCTCCCACCATAATAAAGAGCGTTAACAGGGCCTGTTAACTTGGCCAGCAGCGGCGGCCGACTGCCGACGACTCGGACGCGATTTCGTTGGCCGCTTTCTTTGGAACGAAACGGCAGACTGTCGCGGCATCTCAAACGAATCGGACGCGAAATGCGAAAATCGGAGGGAAATTCGGCCCCAGTGCTCCGAGTGAATTTTGGATAGTATTTCATTCGCTTTCGGACTAAATAATCGGGGCAACCGCACGCGATTGTGTCAGTTCGCCTTACCGAATGCTCAAGTGAAATCCGGAATTTTTATGATATCGCCAGTGGAAGTAAATCATTTTGAAAGTGCACCGAAGTCTTAAAAAGTGGAATAATAACTAAAAGGATAAAACTATAATTATCTTAAAAGTTTCTTCAAATATAGTTATGAAAAATAAATTTTTCGAAATCGATATTAATTGTAATATTAAAATGCCTGATAATAATTAAAATTATATTAATAATGCTTGGAAAATGTTTTTTGGGTAAACTAAAATCCAAAAAACTGCGCAACATAAAGAGTATTGGGATAAATACAATTTAGAGTAAAGAACAATGTTGAAACCTTTAACTATCTGAGTATAAAAATGCATTTCAAAATACTTAAAACATCTTAAAAACTTAACTTAATTGAACAACTCAAAAAAATTATTTTCCAACTGTTTAAGTGGGATCTTAAAGGACTTTTATCTCGTGGGTAAAAGCTTTTTTAACCTTTGGTGAAAATGTCTTGTGTTACCTCTGCACAAAGAATTAATAACGTTATTGACACAAAAATTAATTATTAATAATAAAATTAATAATTAATAATAAAATATAAATTAATTATATACATGTTTTTATAATAAAATAAAATTAACTACAAAAATTACTGTAATTTTTGTAAGTTTAATTTCGTATTTTTCTTTACATTGCTAAATACTTTCCGGTCTTGTAATTTAAATTGTGAAATATATTTTTTTCCAAAATACATATTTGTTGTATAAATAGAAGTGAACCAAATTGGAGATCCAAAATAAATTTAAGCGCTAAGCGATTGCGAAAACAAAAGCAATTTGTACAATATTTTGAATTTGGAATAAGTAAACAACAAGTCGCGGTAAAACTAGCGCGACGGCAAATAAATGAAGCATTAAGGGCAAAAACCATATTTCAAAGTGCACAAAGCGTTCTGTTTCTAAAATTACAAAATTAAATTTAACGATAAATGGTGTAAAAGCCCGTCGGAGAGCTTTTCTTATTTCGCGACTAAATCAATTGGGCTTACATTAGAAATAGTAATAATGAAATTGTGCTTGTCGAACCATTTAAAATACTGCAAATATAATTGCTTACAACCAGAAAGCGGAGCAACAGCTTTAATGACGACAATTTAAACTTTACATATACGTGTCTCTGCAATAAGCAGAGATCGAAAAAGAAGCAAACCAATAACTCTAAGAGTTCAAAACTGCAACAAAAATACTGTTTTTTAGCAGTCAAGGTAAGAATGGTTTAAATTTAACAACGTAATTACCTTGGTATTTCAGTATCCCAGAACAGACTCATCCTTGTGTCTTTGCATTTCTTACGGAGATTCCCCCATCCTAGTCTGAAATTTGACTTCCAGCTCGTGAAGACACGAATTGTGAGCTTTCCTTCGAAATGCTGAAGAGAATAAATAAAAGTGATGGCAGCTTGTCGCAGGTGTGCCTTAGACCATTTGATTAGGATTGCGTTTTTGTTTTTTGGTTTATTTGTGATTCGGATTTGCGTGTGCGTGTCTCGATTAACAAATAGCAGGTTTGTATTTGTACAGGTCCATGCCTATTTTCGCCATCGCCACCAGGCCACCAGGCCACAACCTACAATCAGATAGACAGCGGTTCATTAAGATACCTTTTGAAAAATGTGTTGACATGCGTCCTGTGAACACACACACGTGTTCATACATGTTGTCTTAAACTGGTTTGGGTCTCCCTTCATGAAATATTAAGTGTGTCCGGAATGAATTACTTAATAACATAGATCTGATGTGTTATGTACTTCGTTCAAGTGTCTTGAGTGTTATGGTCGTACATCATTCTCAAAATACTGTTTGATGCTTATAAAAATATCTGATAAATTGAGGACAACTTATTGCTTCAGATCGCATATCAGTATGGGAAATCAAAAGAACAACAAAATATAAAAAATTAAATTAGGTATTTATATTGTTTAAATAGATCCCCGCAAAACTGGAACACCAATACTTTGACTGAGATTAATTGTTGGGCAAATACAAATCTCAAAACGCGCACATTTAATTTCCGCTAAATCCTGCTTATGAGCGTACTTCAGTTAAGACCACGATTGCGCGTCATTACACGGATTAAACATCATCGTCTGGTTTAGGCCTCCTCAACATCGCCTACAAGTCGACAATCGGCCGTAACTAAATGAAGCGCAAACAGCAAACATTGTCAACTGGACTATGTAGGTGCTGGATTGCCTCTCCTGCCCTGAAGGTCCTCTTCTATGGCACTCTCTGTTTCCGACAGGCTGCTTGAACACCCACAGCAGCATCAAATTAATTTTGGCCTGCGCTTTCTTTGTCAGGCCATCAAGTCATTCATTGAAATTATGGATTTTCGTGGAAGTCACGAATTAATTTAATTATAACGACAAAAATTGTGGGAAAATATCCTATTAACTTATAGCTTAGCTGCAGAGTGCGTATACTTAAACGAAAAAAGGAAGTTAATACAGAAAACGGATCTTTGCATTCTGTGTATAAAAGATATACCATATCTTTATTAAATTTGACAAATATGTGACAGCTTTTAAAACAACCTAGCATCCGAAAGAACCATAGGTTCTAATTGAAAACATAAGTGGCCGAAATATACGTCCCTAAATAATTTTAATTTTAATCGCATTAAGCGATTGTAATAAACATGGTCATCTTATACTACATTTTGAATTTTAAATAAGTAAACAACGAGTCACGATTAAGGGAGCGCACAAGTCAATTGATCAAACAAGTTAATTGATCGAAAATTTCCAAAAAAAATGTAGTATTATCTGCTAGAACATAAAAAGTCCTTTCAGCAACTTCTAAATATTCGGTTTAGACCAGTTACCTGGTTAATTTAAGAAACATTAAATAAGGTCCTCTTAGAAAAACTATCTACATCTGATATTGTATCAAAAGATGGTAGGACGAATATAATTAAATAAAAATCTCAAAGAAGTTAATGCCCTATATATATTTATTTTGGTGTGCTGTCATAAAAAAATTGAAAAAAAAGCCATCTTAAATTAGTTTTTTAGAATGGAAAGTCACGTTTTGCCTTTTTAAAAGCAAAACTAGCCAAAGCACGAATTTTATGTTAACCATATATATGTATATATATATATATATATATATATATATATATAACCCCTAGGGAATATTTTTTTCAATAAACAAGTTAATAAAACTCTTTCATGTGGTAGAGTCGACAGAAGTTACGAGTAGGGGTTCCTCCGCTTTTCTGGCAAGTTATGCTTCTTTACTCCGTAGCATGTGTTTTGGCACTTGTGGTGAAATATGGAGGCAAGGAATAAATTTTAGTATTTTGTTACGTTGCAGGTGCTATTGCTTATTTAAGTCGTAAACCAAATTCCTTGGAATTTACCTTACATATTACGCCATTTGCATTTTGAGTTTGGTAAAGGGGTTTAGTTAATATCTAATATCAGTTCATTACTCCTCCCTTCCAGCTCGTTTTGACTTCTGGGTCACGGAATGAAGATTTTCTGCAGTCCTACCCAAACTGATCCCCAAACTCCCGGTGCAAAATATATGCGGTTTAAAGACCTGGTATTTATCATATTTACTGGTCTGGGGTCAATTATTCATCGCAGAGTTTACATAATGACCCAAATAAACATGTTTGTTGTTTTTAAGCCCCCTACTGTGTGGTTTGCTATTAGAGTCATAAGTCCTAAACTCTGGGTTTCGCGTTGTGCATATTAATGGGCGATTTGTCAGTTGCCTAAAGATATATGATTACTCGCTTGTAAGGTGGGGAAAATATATTACGCCGCTGGATGCAAAATAAATAGAATTAACTTTGCCTTTTTTCAGTTGCGTTGCATACCCACATCAAAAAAATTTAAAATTAACAATCCGAAAACTATATGAGTAATTTGGACCGAAACGTGGTATGAATTGCAAAAATCTACATAGTTTCTGCTCATTATGCTCCAAGTAAAATATTTAAGGCAAGCAACCAAACGAATACCACCGTGTCTAAAAAAATTATCCCTAATCCGGCTGTTACCGCCCTTTGAACTTTAAATTTGTTTTAAATCGATAGCAAAACAACGAATCGTGATGAAGAAATAATTATTTTTCTATTTATTATTTACAAAACAATCAACAGGGAATCGGCTAAAGTTTCAAGTCAGGGTCAAGTCCTTCGAATTGACCTTTGGCGTGAAAAGCGTAAAAATAAGCTACTCCACCACTTCCAACCGCCGGAGACACCAGCCACTTTGCCCTGCCCCAAGTTGGTCCCCGACGTCACGCAATCCTGTGGCTTCCACAATGTAATTTGCGCAATGCATTCATTAAGCATTTTGCTGCTTCTTGGTTTTTTTGCGCAATTTTAAACTCATTTGCATGGAAAGCTGAGTCTTTCCCTGCTACTGAGGATAATTAGGTTCTCGACTCTTAATGCAGGCAGTCGGCGGCGAATTTTGTTTTGTTCACCCAGCCCAACACAAATTTATGCTAACGAACTGGAACAACAGCCGAGCGACGAAACCGCAATCTCATTTGCACAGGAAAAAACAGAACTTCGACACAAATAGCTATGGTTACTATAAAGGGGTCAGATCGGGGCGAAATGGGCATAACTTCCTGTTGCTAGTAACAATAAAGATGAGCGATTTTTTGCGGCAGCAACGGGCGAACGTGGAGACATGCCAAATAAGCTGGGGCATAAACCACAACAAACGTCAAAACAATTTCCGCCCACACAACTTGAGGACTTCGCGACGAGGCTAGAACGCTTTAATAATGTTGGCAGGGATATGGTGAACAAGGTAAGCCAAAAAAGTGGTTAAAAAAGTTGTTGCCGCTTGAATTTTTTTTGCGAGAGCCGAAAGGACGGAAGATGGACTCAAAAACTTGGAGCTACTAAGCCTTATTAGCTGTAAATATAGTTAAACTTAAAAGATAATAGTATAAGGAACCATTTATAAAAAATAAAAGATAGTTTATTTAATTTATTATATTTATCTGCGCTTGTATGAAAAGTTTATCGTTGCATTTGTCGTTAAACTAAAACACTGTTTCATATCACCTTCGCGCACAAAGATCCGAACGCAAATAGAAGTTTTTTTTATTTCAGTTTTAAGTGAAAGGGTGTTTACGCTTCAGCTTCCCAAAGTTAGTTGTTAGGGTGAAGTCCTTTACAGTACGAGTTGTTTAGTCTAACAAAAAAAGGTATTTGGTTGAAAACGAATTCTGCTAAGAACTCAGCCATCCATTATGAAAATAATTATGAAAATTAGTGTCGAAACACTGCAACATTCCACAGTTTCATTGCTGTAAATCAATGAACAGCACTCACGAGTTATCTAAAATTCTATTCTTCATTTATGTGATTTTATTCCATTTGGCAAGCTGACACAATAAATCCAAGCTAGCCCAGAAAAACCCGATTCCCCCGGTCGACAGCAGTCAGAAACACAGGACACCAAGTCAAGCGGTTTGAATTGAGCGAGCGCAAAAAGAAAAGTTTGTGGAAAACAAAAAACTATTTTGTCAAGCGGGCATTCCATGATTCGCAATGTGTGGCAAGTGGGTGAAAAAAGCCAGAAAAAATAGGTTTTCCTGTGCGATGGTTAAAATGTTTGCATTTTCTGTCAAGGTGCAATTGTTCGATTACAGGGCGTGGCCAGGAACACGTTTCACCCATCGCATTGAGTATGAAAATTGCCAGATAATCGAAAGGGCCTGCAAAAAGTTAGAATGATTACATGGTCGAATAGGGAGGTGGCAATTCCGATGAAGATACATGTTAAACTCCAGAAAAATAAGTGACATATACTCAGGAAAGCATTGTGATGATGAAATGAAGTCCTCGGTCAAGACAATTGGTCTTGGTACCAAAAAAAATAACATTTAAAGTCGAAACTTCCAGCCAACTGTTTAAAGCTATCTGGCTGAAAGAGGAAAACGAAATGGCCGGACAATATAATACTTTTGATTAAGACAGATCACGATCGTTTTTTTTACACGGGATGTAAAAGTTGAGGTGTAAAAATTCAATGTCGGAAAAGTTACAGAGAATGTATAAACCTTTGGGTCTTTAGCAAATACGGGATACTCTTTTACTTTACGAGTAATGCTTTTTACTAATTTGCTTAGAAATAATGAAAAATAATGCTTAGATCAACAACGGCATAATTTAAGCGGGGTAAAGCGACAAAATCTACTCATTCACCTTGTTCACAATCTCCAGAATTCGA